TGGGTTTTTGTGTACTCCTCGGGTGTACGAGTATGTTCCCAAAAATTTCGTATTCAACTGTGCGAAATGCTCAACAATAAAACGCCATTGAACGTCGTCCTGCTGGCGACTTGTGCCCACACACATACAGTACACACACCCGTATATATATAGCCACCCGCTAGTCGTTATGGCCCCCGGAACTTCCGGTTTGGCGATATGCGCCAACTTTTAGACAATCATTCTCGTTGTTCCCTTTCTTGGCCCAAAAGGCAAAAGCTTAGCGAAAATTTCTGGCCAAGCTATAAATATTACGCGATATCCACATATACGTATGTACCGTACTGTATATAGTATATATGCCCACTGTGCGTGTATGCGAACCACAAAAGTTGACTGGACAACAATTTTTTTGTTGCTTGATTTGATTTAATTTATTAGCTGACTTAATTTATTTCCGCCCAGCAGAATGAAGGCAAAAAAATAATGCCGAAGCAAGTTACATTGGTTTAGACGATAGAATTGTTGGCCAGTGGAAATGGTATTACAGTTTAACGATATCATATTTCTATGAGTGCAATAACCATTAAACTATTTATAGATTTTTATACGAATTAAATTTGTGGGAGTAGCTGCGCTGACAGCCTACCACTGAGAGACTCTTAAATCTCTTCGGTTTTATATTGTTGGAAATTTACTTTATGATTAAACTTAATTTAAATAAATCTTCAGAACTGCTAAAGTGTTTTGATTGGACCATTGAAAATGTTTAAGATCAGGTTTCATAATCTTTTTTTTACTCATTGTTTGAAACGCTTTTTTTTTAATTAATAGGGATGGTTCAAACCCCAAATAAAATCTATTGTATTCCAGTCTTGTATCTACATTATATTTAATATATTTAAGCGCTGATTGAAATAATCTTCGCAGCTACTTGGATAATTCCTTTCCCAATCAAATTGCTCTTATAGAAAAACAAAACCTCTACAACTTCTTAGGTATATCGTATTCGAAACTTTCTAGCATATAATCCTTAACTGACATTCAACGAATGAAAGTTTGTCATTCCCCCAGCCTCTACGCTGCCAACACCATTCAAAAACCAATTACATATTTTTTTGGTGTATGTTTTTGGCCAAAAGTTAATTCTTTCTCTTGTGGAAAATCAACTACAAAAACTAACTTTTCTCTGGTTGTTCAACGTTTGTTTTTGCTTGGCTTGTTTTTATGTTCACATTGAACATGGCGGTATGGGTATGGGTATGGGGGAGCATCTACAAGAACATGACGAAAAACAAGAACAATAAGAGCAGACCAAATAATACAAAATTGAGCAAAAACAAAAGCCCGACAACAATTACAACAAAAGCAAATGGCCATGGTAATAAAAAGAAACATTCAACTCTGGCAACTCATACAGCCGCGAGACGGGTTGGGGCGGCGGGAGGCAGCAAAACTGCGGGGTATATTCCCGAAAAGTATGCAATATTTTCCTTCTACTCCTCCGCCTGCTGTTGGTCCTTCAACTTTGGTGGTTTGCTGCTGACTTGGCGGCTCGGTTCGGCCCAGTAATTAATGCTTGTGAGTGCCACTCGTTCCCCCAGTGGGTGTGTGTGTGTGTGCTGGGCCAGAGTTGCCACACTTTTCAGTAAGAACTTTTAACAATTGTACTTGTTAATTGCATGTTTCCAGCACTTGTTCCTCTGTAACTGTGGATTTTCTCTCTCTCTCTCTCTCTCTGCGAAAATTAAGAAATGTTACCCAAAATCTTTGCCCGCAAAGCAGTGCAAGAGCTGCTTCCATTATTTTTTGTGAAGCACTGTACTTGCTAATTGCATGCCTTCAGCATACTTCAGCCTGTCACAGTAGATTTCGTCTCTGGGAAAATTAAAGAAAACAAAAATTATGCCCAAGCGCTTTTCCCAGCAAAGACATTTAACTTTTTTCGAATTTTTGATGTATATTTTTTTGGTGTAACACATGGCGTATGCGTGTTACGGCTGTAGGCGCCAACTTTCGTACGAAAACTTTGCTCTTATCAGCTGGCGATAAAAATATAAAAGAAACAAAAAAAAAGAGGGAAAACCCTCTGCAACATATATATAATATGGATGGATGTATCAAAATGGTTATATGGGTGTTTTGCAACTTTTATAGACACATCTGGCTGCCTGTCCGTATATATTCATATAAATTTCAAGTTTGTTGTTGCTCCAAAGTTAAACGTTTATTTTTTTTTTGCTAGCTGTTGCATTCGTGTGTTTTCATGTATGTTTTACGGCCTTAACCAGTGGAAGGAACTGCTGTAGCAGCAGCAGTTGTCCATTGATAAGTTGACCATTAATGGTTTCCAAATTGATGTTCACGCTGTGGTGGGGAGGGGGCTTGTGGATTCTGTAATGTGACCTTGGCCAGGCATAAACGTTTCGAACTAGATCTAAGATGTCACTAAGAGGGCACACAGTTGGTTGAGTTAAAGTTATGGCTTCTTTAAGTACTTAATTTGTTTAAAGCCCAAAGTTATGCTGTTAATTATTCATAGGAAAACAAAACACAGTCACGCCTATTAATCATTTCGCACTTGCACGCAGACAATACATAGTACCGAGCGCGTATCATTCGATTCGGCCCTTAATCACCTGTGTCATTCGATAGCCCACGCAACTGTGTATATAACACCTAAAGTGATTAGGCAATTTATAGCCGAAGCCGTAGAAATATTTTGCACCTCACGACTCAGCAGCAGTGGCCTGGCCTGCCATTTGGCATTTGGCACTACCTCCCCTGTGCGTGTCATGAACTTTGCTTTGCTTTCAGCTGAAAACTATTTTCGATCAAGGTTAAGGTTCTGTGACCTTATCGTGTGGTCTAACTGATAGTATGATAACGAAAGCGTCATTGATTACTTAAAAAGGAGGGCAAGTTTAACCGCTGTCAGCTTAATAAAATACGAACGTTAATTAAAATGATACTCTCGGACTGCCGCTTGAAGTGCTGGGCTCAAGTTCTCGTGGTCTTCCATCCGGTCTACAACTGGGGGTCATATCAGGCAAGCTACGACTATCGGTCTCTAACTTAACATCAATTATTTCTACGGCTTGCATGCACTGACCTTTCCCAACATTCTCTCAAACTACTCACTAGGCAAAGTTAATGCTCTGTGACCTTATGTGGAAGACTTTGTTAGTGCACTAACAACTGTTATCCCTCTCGTATTTCCCCTGAATCCTTGTGGAGCAGACCATATAGATCGCTGGCTAAACGCGTGGCTTCCGTGGGTATTCCTATTTTTAACATTTTCATTCACAGTTTCGTGTTGCATACATTCAGGCGCTGTGTCCCTAGCTTTCCTGCTCTCATTCGCCCACTTTGAGGACAACAGCAGCCACTTTTGTGTAGGCTTTCCCCCTGTGAGTGTGTGTGTGTGTGTGTGTATGAATGAAAGCGCACCTTGATGCTATTTTTAAACGCCACACAAAACAACAATTGTCGCTTAGTTAAGTGTTAAGTGTTTTTTTTCCCCCCCTATCCCACACGCCTGCCCCTTGAGGACGAGGCAAGTTCATTTAATTTCATTTCCGCCCTCTGTTTGCCTCTCCCGCTGCTGCAGTGCTGCAGGTGCAGATCCTTTTAGCGGACAGCACTTAAAAATAGTTAGGGCCAAGTGCGTCAAGTATTATATAAATAGATGACAGCTAAATACCTGCCTGCCTCCCACTCCCACTCCCGACGACTGGCAGACACACTGACCCTCGCAAGTGTGCGGCCAGGCCACACTTGTTGGCATTTCTAATTGCTTTCTCTTGTCGAATAACAACTGATGTTGTCGGTCGTAAGTGGCATTTTATAATCGGCTTGTGGATCTAAATGGTATTGACATTTGGCTTATTGGCAAACTGCAGAATATCTGGTCAGGGATTATCGAAAAGTTTTTTTTTTTATTTGTTGCACATATCTTTTGGTTTGTTTTGCTCGTTCCAATTGCTGATGTCGGATTAAATGGAATGGAAATGGCAGCCGAGAATGTAAACGGGAGAATGTAAATACGAGAAATGTGACTAAAAAAATCTATAGATTATCTGTATTATTTATGAGACTATACATATGTGCAATTGGGAAAGGCTAAATGGAATTTACCCAGAGTTCTGAACAGTTTTAACGACTATACGCTGGAAGATTATTTAGCTTTTAGAGGAAATATATATTGTGCTGCTATTTCAGGATTGGAAGTTTGTGAGTTATTTTTCACATTCTCAACATGTAGATTGTTAATGAAAGCTTACTTTCATATTAATCCCATTGCCGATAAAAATAAAAAAATTTTATTTATTATTATTACAGCAACAAAAAAGAATTTGTTGATTTCAACTGTACATATTTCCAATATTCAATAAATAAACCTATACTTTTTTTTAGAGAATCTTTAGATATATTTCTCTGCGTATACATATGTCGCTGACTGTTTTCCGCAGCAGTTTGATGCCCCCCCTACAAAATATCCTTTCAGGTGAGTGAATGTTTGTTTGGCCCTGTTTGCGTGTGTTTGTCTCTGTTTTAGTGTGCCATTCATGCCGTAGTATGTGTGAATGTTTGTGCAACAATGCGTTGGTGTGTTTGTGTGTGTGTGTGTGCGGCTTTGGCGCCTAGTCAAATAAATCGCATGCGATTAAAATTTCATACAAATCGCGTTTGAAGGCGGCGTGCGTTTTGCATTGTTGTGTTCTTCTCTCTTTTTTCTAGTTTCAGGTGAAGAGACGAAGCAGGTTAGAGGTACTGCATACGGCACACCCCCCCTGGCGTTGTTAAATGAGTTGTTTGCAGTTCTCAAGAATGTAGGGGATGGGCACAGAGCTGGCTGGACGGATGTGTGGGTGTGCACAAATTTGCATTTGTAGCGTAACGGAACGGAACGGTGGGTACCTATGTATTGTTTACTTTGTAGGTTAGTTCTGCTCTAGCTTTAAGGCTTATCGCTAGCCATGCTCATTCTCTGTTTTGCCATCCACTCTTTGTATATTTACCTTTGATGCCTTTGACGCGGCGCTGGTGACGGCAGCGGAAGAAGCAGAAATGTGGGCGAAAGCAGGTCCGACGACAACAGCAGAAAACAGAAGACGAGACGTGAGACGAGACGTGGCGGAGACGAGACGAGAGGAGAGGAGTGGCTAGGGGACCCAGGGACCCAAGGGGCGCTTGGGTGATGGCGGGCTTGGGTGATGGTTGGTTTTTGGGTGGAATTAACCTCAAAGCATGCCAGCAAACAGCTCTCCTCGAAGCACTTGACTCTCGGGTTTCGTTTTCCCTTTTTATTCTCGTGTATATTCTGCTCTTGCTTTTGCGTGTTTCGTTTTAATTTGTTAATGATTTCGGCATATTAATTTATTTGCATAGTTTCGTTTCGGCCTCACTTTCAGTTATATTGTATGTGGCTACATTTTTGGCCAGCCTTCGCAGCCAATCCTACAAGCAAATTATTGCTGTATTTCTGTTGTTGTTGCTGGTTCCGTTCCGCTATTCCGCAGCGAGAAAGCCAAGCAGCCTGCACAAGACAAACAAGAAAAAAAAAAACAAGAAAAAAAAAATTGAAACAGAAGAAGAAAAACTGTATCTTTTAGATCCGGGCATATCCTTTATCTCGGACACAGCAGCACAAGCAGCAGCAGCAGCGCTGTTGACGCTCACAGCGGCAGCAGGAGCAGCAGCAGCTGTAGCTGGAAAATTTCCCATGCTTTTGCTTTGCTTTCTACACTATTTTTAATGTTTACTCGCTAATTTGTTTTTGGCAATTAACAACAGAAGAAGCAACCAGCAACAACAGATAGAAGTTTTACCATAAATCCCCCCCCCGCACAAAACTGGAGAGCAGCAGAAAACCGCGCAGCGTTCCAAGTCCGTTTGGCGTTAGCAGGAGCAGGAGCAGGAGCCACTGCACTCACTCACATTCGACAAGGAAACCGTTCGACGCGCGCACCCGAGTGTCCTATACACAACTGATTACAGTTGGAGTCGAGTCCTTCGCGGCTACCAGGACTGCGGACTGCGAAAATGTTTAGCAGTGGCAGTGTGGCAGCAGAAGCAACGATGCGATGGCTTCATTCGCTTCGTTTCGCTTCCACGCTTCGTGTCGTGTCGTGTCATGTCCCCCCCATCTGACGTGTCGTGTTGTGCCGCATCCCGTTCTCGTTCCCGTTTTCACGTCTCGTTGTTGTTGCTCTGGCAGGCAGGTTTCTGTTGCCGAAATTTGACTAAGCACAGCTTTGTCCAAGACGGGCGACAGCTTCACAGTTGTTATGCTCTCCCCGCATTGCGCTCTGCGGAACCTGACATGCGCTCTCCTGCAACAGCCAGCACTAGCAGGATAACAGGCCCCGGCTAACAGTAGCTCTGCGAAAAGAGAGCAGTAGCAGTAGCAGCAGCAGCAGCAGGCCAGCAGCTGGAGCATTGAGTGGGTGCGCATTCACTTGGCTCACTTGGCTGTTGGATGGATGAGGGCTCCATTGTCTTGTGTCTGAGGCACACAGTGGGACGGGCTATGCCATAAGCTGGAAAAGTGTTAGAGTTTTTAGTTGTGTTCTTGTTATTATTAAGCTTATTGCTTACGCTACAATTAATTTTTGCTATCAAAAATAAATTAAAAAAAATAAATGCCTGTGCATGATAAATTTAATTAAATCAAAGACAACCAAACAAAGTTTAACATCTTGATTATTGAATACTGCCCAAATAAATTCAAGCCATGTCCACTGTGCCAGTCCTGCTCCCACATTCATCTTACTCAGCCCGCAATTGGCAGGCAGAAATATTGCCACATTTCGCACGCGCTCATCCCAATATCCCTGAGCAGAATAGTCAAGCAGTCTGGCAGCCTTTACAGAGCTCACAAAAAAGGATTCCCCCCGCTCGCCACTGTGTGTGGCGTCTGTTTCCAGATCTGTTAATGCGTAGCTGGCCCCTACTGATGATGTTGGCTGCTGTGCTGCTGCTGCCTTGGCCGTTTTCGGCGCCGCCTGAGAAATGACACCCATGTGCTTAGGACGAACATGATGTTTGCACCTCCTGCCCTGCCGCCTGGTTACGCCTCTGCTTGCGCGTCTCTCGCATTCACATGTGCCACTCAGTGTTGGACACTTGGACAGTTTTTTTTTTCACCAACGAACGGACGTGGAAGGTTTTACAGCCCCAAATGACAAGTGCTTAGTGGCCTGGCCTGTCGGTGTGACTGCCGCTGGTACGGCTGCCTACCTCTGTATGCGTGTTCTTTCTTATGCTCATTTTTCAAGCTTGCAAATGGCGAAACGGAAACTGCTCAGTGAGCGTGGTGGGTCGGGTGGGCGGTAGGGGGGAAGTGGGCAAAGTACTTGGCGCACGCTTGCGCGGCTTACCGTATTAACTCATTAAATGTTCAAAAGCTCATTGCCTGCGAAATGTGCACACATTTCTGGGAGTAAGTGTGTGTAAGTGGTGTGCGTGTGTGTCTGGCTGAGAGTGTGTTAAATATGTATGCATATGTGTGTATGTGTGCTGCCCGCTGATTTTGCCGCTGCAATGACATTTTTAGTACCGCCTAATAGCCGACGGTTGGTGGCTTGGCTTGGCTTGGCTTGGGGCGGGGGTGTGATGTGATGAGCCATAAATAAACAATGTTTCTAATTAATATACACAAGAACTTAGAATCGAGCATGTTAGAATGGTAGAGTCGAGTGTTTTGACTAAAAAATACCACCTAATCTGATAGGTAATGTTGGCATTAAAATGTTGCACCAATGATGGGGTGAATATTCTGTCAAGGAATAATTTGTTTGCGAGGTTATTGTAAAAAGTACTCTAGCTCTCATAGTAACAGAGATCCAGGTGTGCTTATAGGCAGACCCATGGACAGACTGTTTCTAACTAGATGGAGTATTTTTACTTTTAAATGTACATACACACATATGTAAAAAAAAAAAACAAAAATATATGTTCAACATCATTGTTCTCATCGTTTCAATGAGGGGTATCAAACTGTCGAAACCTTATAGTTATCCTCGCACACTCATTATATTCCTTCGTTTTTTATTTTACTTACATATATGCACCACTCTTTATGCAAGCTAAATTAATTTCTGTAATTATTTTAGTGCCATGAATGGACGACTTTAGCCACACTTTTCACACACTCTCTCTCTCCTCCGACCCACGCCAACACAGTTTGTTTTTTTTGTTGTGGTTGCCAAGAGTGAAAGAGAGAGAGAGTTCTGTTGACCGCTGCCACTTGCGGATATTACGCATTCGCCGCGTTGCATGCGTCTTTAATATTTCATATCTGAGGTTGGCCGAACGGCAGAAATGACAGCTGCGTGCGGAAGATAATTAAGGCGGCATTATAATGACCCTGGCAACGAAACGGGGCCACTTACTTTTTCCCACAGGCCCCCCACAGTTGGTGGGCATTGCAATGTGTTGCATGTGGCGGCAGCAGACACTTTGGCGTCACTAAACAATGACGTGTGCGGCGTAGTCATGGCCAGCACAAGGTGCACTATGATTGCTATACGTATGTACATACATGAAGGGGTTTATTTATGTACTTTGGCTTTAAATTAAAGCTATACTGAATTATAGATATAAATTATATGTTCTCTGCATATGAACTTGTAAATTGGGGAAGGTCTTGTCATCGGCCAGTTGGTCCAGTTTGGCTAGCACTTTTCGGTTGTTAATCTATGGATTTGTTAATTGATTAATTTATTTTCGAAGGGTGCATTTAACTAGTTTAATTTAATTTATTTAAATAATCCATCTTTATTGGATAGTATTAAATTTCTGATCCTGTTGGTAAGCTCCGCATGGAGTCCTATGGCACAATTTGTTAACACAAGTGAGCTACTTGCTATTAGCTTTGCTGTGACACAATTCACGTTGATAGGAAACACGTTTATTCAATTTAAAATTTGATGTTGTATAGCAACACACATATGATCGATAATCGAAGACACTCCTTTAAATAAATACAATATAAACTACAATAAATAACTAGTACAAAATTTGTGGCTCTTCTTATTTATGCAGCATGCCGGTTGGTGGAGACTGAATGACACAAAATGCTTTGAGGGTGGAGGGCTAGTTGTGAGATGTGTAGAGCAGTCGACAGTCGAAGGATCTAATCGACATCGATTAGGGCTGGCACTGCTGCAAGATCGTTGGGTTCAGCAGGTTGGGGGCCATCGCCATCGCCCACGGTCCTCGGAGACTCTGCCACTTTTGGAATAGGAGCAGTCTGCTCCTGTGCATCCTTGGTGTGCTTCACTTTGCTGGCATCTCCGGCAGCTTCCTGCAGGTCGATGACCGCCTCCACAGCTTGCTCTAACGGTTGCGGATCTTCTGTTGAAGTTGGCGGCTCGTCGGCGGCCTCTTCAGACTTCTCTTCAGGTGTCTCCCCGTTGGAAGTAGTTTCTGCAGCAGCAGCCCCATCAACTTCGGGCAGTTCTTCGTTTGATGCGCCTGCCGCGGCTGCTGCTGCAGCAGCTGCTGCCGCTGCCTTGGCCTTGGACTTTTTCTCCTTCTTCTTGTTGTTCTTCTTGGCATTGGCCAGCTTCTGCTGATCCTCGGCCGCCTTGTTCTTCTCCTCAATGGCTGTCTTGGCCTCAGCGGTGGTCAGCAGTTTCATTTGGTTCTGCAAGTTGGTTAAAGTTTGCTTCAGCTCGGCGCAGTTTCGGCTCATCAGCTCCATCTTGGCCTTGTCCGTGTTGATGGGCGTAATCTTTACTGCCTCCGGCTCTGGCGGCAGCTGTGGCAGAGGAGGAATCTCAATGTTGTTCTCCCGGAGGCTCTTGTGCAGAGTCGTTCGCTCCAGCTGCAGGGCACGCAAAAGTTTTTGCAGTTGCGTGACTTGCTTGACCAGGCGGTCCGACTGCTGGTCGCGCATCTGCTTCTCGGTGGCCAATTCGATGACCATGGCATTGGCCTTCTCGTACCTCTGGCGCCAGCCCAGCGACTCCTTTTCGACCTTCTTTGTGTGCTTGGACATCTTCTCCAGTTCGATTTTGTAGCTGCCGAAGACCTCGTTCGACTTGGTCAGCGACTGCTGGAAGTCATCGTATTTGGCCATGTAGATGTTCAGCTGCTCCTTCAACTGGTGCTCGCGATCGGTCAGATCCTTGATGCTGCGCTGAGCCTGAATCAGCTTTTCGAGTCCAATTTGGTTCTCCCTGTAACGAGCGGGTACGCACATTTAGAGGTTGGCTAATTACTATGCGAGGTGTGGGGGGCACAAACTTTTTGAGAATCTCCTTCTCCATGGCCGCCTCGACCTGGGCCTTGCTGAGCCTGGCCTGATGCAGCTGCGCCTCCAGCTGCACCTGCTCATTGAGTTTCTCCAGATGCTGTTCGCGCGTCTGGTACTGCTCCGCCAGCAGCTTTAACCTAAAATCAGAGAACAGATGGTCAGTGTGTGTGCGTGCCTATGCCGCAGACATGCGGCATGCAGTGTCTATATTTAGACGTTTAGACAGCGCGCACACCACACCGCTGAAGCAACGCCGGCTGCTGTTGCTGCTGCTGCTGCTACCGAAGGCTGCCCCACTCACTTTTTGGTCATTTCGATGTTGTAATCGCGCAACTTGATGTTCTCCTCGTTGTTTTTGGACAGCGACTTCTGGACATCGTTCAGCGAGCTCTGGAACTTGATCTGGCTCTCCTTGCGGCGCTCCTCCTCCACCTTGATTTGCAGCATGCTCTCGTTCTTCACCGACTTGATGATGCGCTGTTGCTCGCGGCACACCTCCTGCAGCTTGTCGCGCATCAGGATGCACTTGTTGAGTTCACGCTGCATTGCCTCCTTCTCGCGCTGCTGCCCCTCCGTGTGGCGTTGCACCACCCGCAGTTCGGCCGTCAGCCGGCCCACGTTCTTCTCGCTCTCCACCTGCCGTTGCATCAGCATCTTCACTTTGTCCTCGTTCGTGTGGCACTCGTCGAGGGACTTCAGCACCTGCGTGGGTGTCAAGGGTGTCAACCATTTAAGGGATATTTCAATATGCATTTTCGTTGCCATTGCAACGCCGGGCGCAGTCGCGCAACGGAAGGAATGGAATGAATGTTCTTACCAGCTCTTCCAGCTTCTGTTCGCGCTGTTTCTCCTCTCGAGCCACCTTTTTAGCCTTGCCTAACTTTTCCATTTTGATAAAAGTCGATGCGATGCTATATATAACTTCTAATTCGTTCCTTCAAATTTTGACTATATATAAACAATAGAGGTGGGAAAAACTCGATTCAAACATCGATATAATCGATTCTTGTTTTGGGAATCGATGTTTTTTTGGAAAAAATTCCATCACCAATTTACCACGATTTAACGCGAAACCTCAGCTGCGCCCCTTTCGTTGCAAGGACTGGCACATATCTGTATACTGTATGATTAGTGGTAATAGCTATATGACACTAGAGTTTTTATTTTGAAAATAACAATATTGCGCCTAACAGCACATTGCGCAGAAGCTCTAATGAGTCCGCGCACAACAGCACACTAAAGAGCTTGCACTTAACAGCACACTCCCGTTTGTTGCTATATTAGTACTCGAAATTGCCGCTAGAGGGCTGCCAAAGCAATCCTGCTGTTACAGTTATCCCGCGATTTGCGTCGATCGTGCTCAAAAGTTTTATTTCCGTAATAAAAAGGTATGTATTTGCCGAATCTAAGCTGCGTTTTCCCACACAAAATAATCTTTGGATATTTTCGCCAACACAAATGTATATTCCACATGCCCAGCTTACAGTTATCGCACGATCGCCGCTGTGCACCTATCCCACTCTCCGCCTTGCACCTTCCCACGCTTCCCACGTTCTACGCTTCACACTTTTACTACGCAGCAAGCATGTCGACGATGGAAAATGATAGCATGGAATTTTTAGCGGAGACGGGTCTTCTTTCTCGGTTCGTGGACATTTTGAAGCAGTTAATGAATATCGAGCCGCAGCCAGTGGACCCTCTGATGTACGTTCTCCATCAGCTGGACTGCCCCCTAATTCCGCAGGTCTGATTTTGTTGCACTTTTTGGGTGAAAACATGTGAAAAATGGTAATGTTTGCTGGTCTTTTTTGTTGCAGGCCCAAATGAAGGCGCTGGAGCGGAAGGTGACGCGTGCCCACGATGAGTTGCGCTATTTGCGCGACCTTCTGATCAGTATGGGCGCCGACGATGATCTCTATGACAGCGAGACGGACGAAGAGGAGTATGTGGGCTGCGTGGAGGGTCAGATATGTGACCCAAGAGTCTTGGAAGAGTACGGCTATGGCTATGTGGAGGAGGACACTGGGGATGATGGCGATGAAACTCCAGATGACACCGAGAACGAAGAAAACTCGTTCGAATCGCAGCAGCAGCATCAGTACATGGTTCAGGCCGCTATGGCAATGGCTCCTGTCGATCAGGAAGAACCGGCTGGGTCGTACGAGCAGCCCTGCTCCAGTCGTCCCATTTGCAACGACTCACAGTAGTTGTAGTTCAACAAATAATTACATACATACATATGTACACGTACATATCTGTTTCAACGCACGTGGTGTGTTCCATTTCGTATTTTTTTCAATCGTGTTTAATGAATGCATTTTGTGACCTTTTTATGGATTATCAATAAACCCAATGCATGGACGTTGCATCCATAGAAGTAGAGCCATGTAACCACTGATTGAAACATGACTTCGGTTCTGGTTCCGGTCGGGTCTTGCTCAAAGTTGATTGCTATTAAGCACACCTCAACCTGAGGGAAATCAATAACTAATATGGAATATGCATGCATGCAGCTGGTCATATAGCCGAACAAAACAACAATTCAATTAACTCAAACATGCCGAATGCTGGATGTAAAACTGAGGGAAAGTTTCAAAAGCAGCAGCAGGATTGCCTGTAGGATTGCCTCTTGTTCTGCTTCCACAACTGCTACTCCTGTTATTGCTCGGAGTGGGTCAGGGACCAAAGCTAATTCATCATTATCGAGCCATGGATAAGCTGCAGCTAATTAAACGCCAATTACTATGCATTAATTTTTGCATTTGAGCGCTGAGCTGTCGGAATGATATACATACACATGTGTGTATGTAAAATATAAAAAATAACCCAATAATTCACTTAAAACGCAACGAATCGAAATCAGTTGATGCGAAAGTGATTTTAATAAGGTTCTGTGTGATCGGTAGCCAGCTGGAATTAGAAATGTTAGATCAAATGCTCTGTAAGGCATTAACTTTTTATTTAGTTACTTGCGTGCCTCCATTAGGCCCTGCATTTTATTTACTTAATTATTTGTGCGTAGTGTATGGTTTTCAGACCAAATTAGTTTCGAGGCGTACTGGAAAACGACCAAAGATCGCAGGTTAGAAACAACGGCGTTTTAAAAATGCACGGCGCAGAAGCTATCGGAAATCGGAATCATCGAAACGTGGTTGAGAGCGAAAAATGTAAACAAAAGAAGTTGTATAAATTAAATGAAATATTATCCTCCTATCAAGGAAAGTTATACCCGCAGCGGTATTCAAAGGTAAGCCGTAACATATCCAACTATTGAATGTGAGTAATTTATATTGTGTATGCACATATTTCCTTTGTTTCCACATCCGTTAAATTTTACACCCAATATCAGGGGGAGGGGGCTGTGGCAGATCCTGGAAATGTTGCCCAGCCCCAATGATTTACACCAAATATTTGTCACAGTGCGATAAATCCATCTAATCCTGCTGCAGGACCCTGAAAATTTGCATGTCCGGTTTGACAAATAAACTGCTGCACAGCTTACATAAATATTGCCCGAAAAAATAAAACATATTTTGCCACATACTCGTAAAATAAACAAGACGACCCACCACCCAGCAAGGGGTGTGGTGGGGCACAGCAGCTGCTTTTAATTGCTTTCGTTGGTTTTTTTAACATTTTTGCAACTTTTTAGTTGACATTGAATAATTGCTGCGGAAATTGTCGTTTAACTGCAAATTGTGGTAACAGCGGAGTAGACTCCGCTTGATAATTGATTGAAGCTCTTTAAATTTTGTGCGGGTTTTTTTTTTCTGTGGTGCTTTTTTGTTGGTTGGCTGGTGGGCTGATGCAGGCCGGACTTTCGGGCCGTTTAATCTGTGCACGCGTGCCGACTGCAAAGTGGCCCAACGGCTCCGGCCCAGTATGTCCTGGAATGGCCCGGAATGGCTACCGCAAATCTGCTTTGCATGTCAGTGCGGCGCAACGTAAAACTTTGACCACGTAAAATACGAGACCCTCGGGCAGTAGCCGCAGGACCCAACAACTGAGAAAATAAACTAGTATAGCAATGAAATGGAGTGCAACTCCATTGGGAAGCGGCCTGCAATGGACTGCCGGGGATCAATGGTGGATTCCTACGGATTGCAGCGAAATGGAAATGAGCTGTGGACAGGGCAGCGAATGGCCAAGGTATGGATCGATATATCTATAGAATTTATGTGAAAATATTACCTAACGATGACCATGAAGCGATGCTTCATATATAGCTTTATATGATGACATTGTAGATGTTTGCTTGAATTAATACCCCAAATATTAATTGAACTTTAATGTCTGTATCTTTCAGTGCTCTCATCTAAAAAAATCGATGCTATTTTGAAACAAAAATCTTTAATTTTATGGGTGAGTTTACTTATAGAAACCTATTACATGTTACCCATTGCTAAAGGAGGTAATATTATTGATGAAATTGTTCAAAAATATGTAGATAGCAGCATAGTGGCCTACATGCGGTAATGTAAAGGAAAAATAATATTCCTGCTAACTTTTTTTTAATACATTTCCAATGTTTTGTCAGTCGTTAATGCTTTTCGAATCGGATCAAATGAACCGCCCATTGCCCCATGGCCAACTCTTGGCACACATCAGCCCCCTGGAGAGCGGATATGGCGAGCACTTTCCTGGTAATGGCACAACAAAAATGAAGGAATTTTCACAGCCAAAAATAGCCTGCATGGGGCGGCCAAGTGGGGGAAATGTGAAAAAGGATAGCATGGTTGGCCGTGCTGCTTCAATTTCATGTCGAGTAAATTTTAATTTACTGCTCTTTTGTGACCGCATGCAAGCCAACAAAACTTTGGGCTCTTTTTTGCAGTTACTTTATTTTTTCTTTTTATTTTACTTTTTTTTTTTTGTATTTTGGGTATGGGCTATGGCTTGTGTGTGTTTGTTTGTTTGACTTGTTGGTCAAATGATATATCCGGTCGGTCCGTTGCTCCATTCGGCCCGAGGGCTAGTGTGGGATTTTAAAGCCAGCCCAGCACCAAGCTCCCATTAGTTCTAATGACCGCAAAAGGCCACACACACACAAAAAAAAAAACGACAGGAAAAATGTTTGAAAAACAAAATAGAAAGCGAAATAAAAATTCCGCCATTGCTGGCAGGCTAATTGAAGTCTGTCTGAATGGCAGCAGCAGGAGCTGGCGTTTGGGGGGGGGGGGCGTGGAAAATCTCAAAACTATGCTTCATTAGCCAAGCTGCAAACTCTATTTGCCTAATGGGTCAACACCCGACCACCAGCCATAAAAAGATCCAGAAAAGCGACAGCCAAATGAAGAAATTTGTGCCATAAAACGTGCCGAGCTTAAAGAATGAGCCACCATTCCAAACAGCAGGAATATTGTATTTGTATGCGCGTATTTTGGCTGCAATTGAAAATTCCAAACACAACAATTAAAAAGCAATTAACTATGCAAATTTTGCACGCTGTTAATGAGCCGGAAAGCCGTCCAGAATGGGCACATATATATCACATTTTTTGTTGTTGCTGTGGTTATTCCTTTCAGACGATGCCGCCGCCCCCACAGCATCTGACCCGAATACATCAATTTCTGGAGGATGTTCGGGTCAAATGCTCCTCCACGCGCACGCAGTCCCAGAAATACACTTTATCATTTCTTGTCATTTTTCATGAGGAGGAAAAGGGGAAAAAGGGTTAAACAATTTTTATGTGTCAACAAGAATAATTCCTGTCACTAACACGAACACGAATACGAAGCGACTTGGCGCTCAAATGACAAAAGTTCTAGCAGGGAAAAATGGAGCGCCAGAGAAAGGTGGGGCGGGGCAAACAAAAGGCAGTCGCCGTATTAATAATGAAACAAGAAAGTAGCAGCCTTAAATACCCTTACAAATACAATTTAGGATACTTTAAGGATTTCTTTAAACAGGTTGAAGTTATTTAAGGATGTTTGTTTTAACGCTGGCAATCAAGAATATATGTAAATATATTTCAGCAAATGTTTTCTGTTCTGATCTGAAATAATAATAACTCTCTGCAAGGGCATAAACAGGACAATATCGCAGAACAGGCAGCAGCGCAACAAACGGGGACAAACAAGACAACAAAGTGCCACAAAGCACGTCCTCCGCGCCCCGTCACGGTGTCAACAAAAAGTGTTGCAAAAGAATCAACAAGCAGCTCGGAAATTAATACGTCCCACCAGCGCATATACATACATAGGTGTGAAGTTTCCTCCTACAGCAAGCCCCACTAGTCCCTGTACCGCCCATCTGCGTGCAACTATTTGATACGTGTCATAATCTTTTGGCAGAAAGTGTTGAGGGATGTATGTACGAGTATGTATGCGCTTACATCGGGCTAAGACGAATGCCGAGGGGATACCATGTTAGGCACGAATTCGCTCCAGTTTGTTGAGAGGGTTTTGTTTGATTGGGATTATGTTTACGTCGGAATTTACCAGGGACACGAGTACATATATACATATACATATGCACTGGTGGCTCTGGGCCAACTACGTATCACTATCATTGCTGACTGCCTGCCTCGATTGCTCTTCTTGAGGCTGATAAAATTTCAAACTGAAATCACTTGAATTTCGAGCACATTTCAACTAAATAAGGGCAGGGGCGGTATTTCTCTGTATCTGCCCAGGCTAGCGCTCTTTCTGACTCCGCGTTCAAGCTGAACAAATAAGCAAGCAAATTTGTTTACCAAGCAGCTAAGAGCCTGGCCAAGTAAAACAATGAAAGAAGAACCAACAAAGCAGCTTTTCGCTCATTGTGTTGCGGGGGTTTCAACGAAATAAATATGCGTTCAGCTATAAAATTACAGCCAATGTTCCTGCAACGTTTATCAAAGCATTTTCTGTGCTGAGCATGCCAATGTCAGAACTAAACTACTTAGCGATGACCTTCATAGATGCCTGCCACGCGACGCCTACCATCCGCCTACCACCTACCTCTCCTTCCAGAGGTTGCACGGGGCAACAGCTGGCTCCAGCTTGGGCCAGGGCCATGGCCATTATTAATACCAATTAAATGAGCTTAGGACTTCTTTGTGTGCCCAATCATTGAATGCTTATTACGCATACGCCATATGGAACAGCGATTCTGGAAAATATATGGCGCCGTCATGACAATGATGAAACTTTTTAATTGAAAAAAAGTGAGCAGAAAAGTGGCTACGGCAAGTAGATAAGATAACGACAGAGCGAAAGCCCTCTAATTATTTTGCATAACGCTTCATTAGAAAGCCGCAGAGGGCAAACACAAAAAAAAAAAAATTTTCTTCTTTTTGTCGTTACTTTAACGGCCTGGCCCGCCGTCTGACGAATGACTTAATCACCCAGAAAAGCGCCACACAAATCAACGAGCACAACAGGCTGAGTTC